GTTGAGACTTGCGAACACATGGTGAAAACATTGTAACCATAGTTCTGTTCTGGCTGGGTCAAGTTATTTATCCCAAATTCGCAAATTATAGAAAAGCCAGTTTTTATACTTATATGTCCGATTACTTTCATGACAATATTTCCAAATTTCCCGTGCATTTTACACTTACAAAGGTGGAAAAGCCATTACCACCACTTATCCTTGCGATAAGAACTCGAGCATTAACGCTTAAGAAGTGTCCAACTGAGATATGACAAGGTGAAGTACATTATGATTGAAGATGTGAAGATGACGCGTACTGCCCTAGAGCGAGTGAATGTTGTTTTACGCGACAGTCAGAATTTTTTCACCTACACCACGAGAATCTGGATATATTCAGTTATGGTTCTACTGGAAGAACTGAGATCCGGGACACACACACGAGCACGCACGCACGTACGCACGCACGCACACACACACGTGGCTATATGTTAAATAATCCTGAATGCGACGTTAAACCAATTTCACCATACTTTCCTCTCTTCACTGCACTGGCGAAGCGGTCTCAAAACTGTCAATATTATGCAGGTTGTTAGTTAGACACATCAGGAGTTACTTCCCTTGGACCAGTAGCCGTGAAACGTAAACTGGCTATTCTGGAGCAGCCCGGTCATTCGACTCTGATGTCAGATTATGTTTAGCTGGAAACGTCTGGGGCGAACAGAGGCTAATGATCTTTCATGATTCGAGTAGTTTCTGGCTGCCTACATAGTCCCTTTGTACAGATTATTGCCGCAGCCACAACGATTGGAATCAAATGTATACTAATAACCATTGTTTTTCTAAACACAACACACAGTTTTTATGTTTATTCTGTTGACTGGCATAAAGGAAGTTCAAAGGCAATAAAAGAATTGAACCGAAAACAGTTCACTGATTGGAGTGGTCATGATGCCTAGTTTGACACAAGTGGGTAGAACTCTTGACCCAAGCAGTGATCACTCACCGGATGCCTATGGTGTAATTCCTATTCTTTGAATGACATTGTTATAAGTTGTTACAACTGCTGCTCAATAAATATTTACTGAAATAAAGCTCTCTCTCATGAATGCGATGTTTCATTAATGCGAACAAAGACCACTCTCATTTTTCGCATTTAATTCACGCTCGCGTTACTTTCAAGATTTACAGTTCATATTAACATCAATATACCCATATGTAGTCCAGGTGACAAACTAACTGCATGCGTTCCTGGTTATTATAGTTAGATTATTTACTATCATATTGATCAAGTCTATGTATTTCCTTGAAGGTTAAAACTGCACTGGCGTTGTGCTTGAGATGAGTCTCAATGACCGTGTACATTCATATATTTTCTAAATTTACATTTAAACCAGTTTAGTTTTCAAATGAAAATGCTGCTGAACAATTGTGCTTCTCTGCATACACGCAGTTGTCGATAATATAAGTGTTTACAATTCATTATTACAGGGGCGACCCGTGAAGATCCGGGGTAGAATAGGTCTTCAGCAACCCATGCTTGACGTAAAAGGCGACTATGCTTGTCTTAAGAGGCGACTAACGGGATCGGGTTGTCAGGCTCGCTGACTTGGTTGATGCATGTCATCGGTCCCAATTGTGTGAATCGATGCTCATGATGTCAATCACTGGATTGTGTGGCCCAGACTCGATTACTTACAGACCGCCGTCATATAGCTGGAATATTGCTGAGTGCGGCGTTAAACAACAAACAAACAGACAAATTACAGTCTGTAGAACTCACTCCCTGTCCCGCCAGGTGGCGAACGTGACTCGCGGTGTTATTTGGGTGCCAGTGATACTGTCAGCACTATGGACAAGCTTGCTATAAATGCTGGCATGCCACGTTCTCTGTAAAGATGTAAAGCTTGACATGTTTTCATGTGAAGTCCATTGTTCAGATATATACCGTCACAGTCATGTGACGCCAACTGTACAGATATATTCGGACACATACAGTCATGTGACGCCCACTGTACAGATCTATTCGGACACAGTCATGGGACGCCCACTGAACAGATCTATTCGGACACACACAGTCATGTGACGCCCACTGTACAGATATATACCGACAAACAGTCATCTGACGCCCACTGTGCAGATCTATTCGGACACACACAGTCATGTGACGCCCACTGTACAGATATATCCCGCCACACACAGTCATGGGACGCCCACTGTACAGATAAAGACTGACAAACGCTTCAATGCGACGCCCACTGTACAGATATAGACCGACACACACAGTCATGTGACGCCCACTGTACAGATATAGACTGACAAACGCTGCAATGTGACGCCCACTGTACAGATATAGACTGACAAACGCTGCAATGTGACGCCCACTGTACAGATGTAGACTGACAAACGCTGCAATGCGACGCTTAAGAAACAGTTTGTGTTTATGTATGTTAGAATACGAAAGGTTTCTAAAACGACATATGGACAATTTATAATATTCGAGGTGTCTTATATGAGATCAAAGACAGCTTCCGTCATTTCTTGTTATGTAAACAAACAATAGCCTCACTTCTTCGCTTCACGACCTGCAACTGACGGTTTCTTGGGTGTGTCTATTTCCGCTAAAGGTCACGGGTGTTTTGCCGTTGTCCGGACACTGACCGCTGTGACCTACACATAGTGCGCGGTCAGCTGACTGAAGTCTGACCACCAGGGTCATGAAGGAAGTATATTGTTCAAAAGGCGACAGGGAGTAGCTCTAAAAACTATAATCTTGGCGGAGAAGGAACGATTTGACGATCAAGTTCGTAAGCAATTGACCGACTAAGCACATTTACATCTTGACATCGAGTCAAATAAAGTATTATCTCGGCAGGTTATTTAACATATATGCAATGAAATATAGTCGAAGTAAGACAGGTCTTCTTCGTATTTCAAAGTAGGTTGCGTTATATACATTATAGATACTGTACCTTAAGAATCTAGCTGCTCATTAATCTACGTACCTATCAACATTTACAACACTCACTCACTCACTCACTCACTCAAATAATAGTTATAATTAAGTCATGGTCGTCAGATGGAACACTAGGGGCATTTCTCAAATTAGTGCCAGTGACAGAGCAAATGTTCTTTTCCTATTTCCAATAAGAAATGTAACCTTTAAAGCAGATCTGGACTTGGTAGGCAACTGCAACGTTATCAACAATATACGCTATCAGAGAATCACCACGCCGGCCATAACCCCATTAGTCCGGAAATTTGGTAAGACCGGAAACCCCAGTAGCTCGGAAACCTCGCTAGTCCAGAGATCCCGGTAGTCTGGAAACCCCTTAAGTTCCGAAACCCCGTTCGTCCCGAAACCCTGTTAGTTTGGAAACCCAATTAATCATGTGATTGCGGAAACCCTATTAGTTCTGAATAGTTATCCTGGAAACCTCGTTTGTCCGGAAATCCTGTTTGTCCGGAAACCCCTATCAGTTCGGAAACCCCGTAGACCAGAAATCCCGTTTGTCCAGAAGTCCCAGGATTCCAGAAAGCCCATTAGTAAGCCTGGTAACCTTGTAAGCCTGGAACCCCTTATTTCGGAAACCTTGTTAGCCTGGAAACGCCCTTATTCCGGAACCTTGTAAGCCTGGAACCCCTTATTCCGGAAACCCTGTTAGCCTGGAAACGCCCTTTTCCCGGAAACCCTGTAAGCCTGGTAACCACGCTAGTCCGGAAAACTCATTAGTCTGAAAAAAAAACGTTAGCCCAGAAACCACGTTAGTCTAGTAACCTGTTTAGTCCTAAAGCCGGTTAGTTCGGAAACCTCGTTAGTCTGGAAAACCTGTTGGTCCGGAAACCTTGGTAGTCCGGAAATGCCATGATTCTGGAAACCCTGTTAGTTCGGAAACCCCATCAGTTCGGAAACCCCCTTAGTCCGGAATACCGTTAGTCTGGAAACCCCGTTAGCTTGGTAACACAATGTCTGGATACCCCATTAGTTTGGAAAACTTGTTGGTCTCTAAACCCAAATAGTCTGGAAACCCCGTTAGTGTGGTAACCCTGTTATCCCGGAAACCCTCTTACTCAATAGACTGGAAAACCCATCAGTTCAGAAACCATTTAGTCCGGAAACCACATAAGCCCAGAAACCCCGTTAGACCAGAAACCCGGTTAGTCCGGAAAACCCGTAAGTCAGACAATTCCGTCAGTCCGGAAACCCCTTTTGTCTGGAAACCCCTTCAGTCCGGAATCCACGCTTTTTGGATGATTGATCTGTTAAACTAAGGGAATAAAGTAATATACATATCATCCCATACCCACACATGCTTACTCTAAATACTCATCCTGACGATATTACTCGGACCAGTACCATGTTGATAATGGTCTACAAACCTTTCAGCTTGTTTTGTGGTACACATGTGGAGGATATTTCCCAATTTGACGCTTTAGTGACCAAACTGGTGTTCGGTAATCCCCTATTTTGACTTGTGCCAGGTGTTGCCGTGTTTTTTTCAGGTGAACAGTCTACTAGCCTTTGCGTGTGTTTGTGATGTTGCTCCGTTAGGGCAGGATACGTTTACTTTTTCACGAACACCTGGTATCATTACCATATGATAGACCCGTGAAGATCCGAGTTAGAATAGATCTTCAGCAACCAATGCTTGCAGTAAAAGGCGAGTTTGCTTGTCGTAAGAGGCGACTAACGGGATCGGGTGGTCAGACTCGCTGACTTGGTTGATGCATGTCATCGAATCCAATTGCGTGGATCGATGCTCCTGATGTCAATCAATGGATTGTCAGGTCCAGACTCGATTATTTACAGACCGCCGTCAAATGGCTGGAATATTGCTGTGTGAGGCGTTAAACAACAAACAACAACAACCATTGGATGGTGATTCAGAAACACATGGTCATGATATGGTCGGAATGGTACAATGGGCTTTGTTTTAGCAGATATTTCTTATAATAATGAAAATGGTTTTGTCGCTTTCTTCGTTCAATGACAATAACATATAGAATTCAAAACATTAATAAATCGGACATGAATTTATTTTCAAAATATAATATGTACAAAGGTAAAAAACAATATACATGTAAACAATAGCAATCAGTTCTAAAAGTATGAAAGTTTGTGAGGGTATAAAGACGAATGTGCAGAATTCTGATGACTGACTCTTCTTCGTAACGTGTTCCACAACATCCTTCATTAACATAAAGCTAAACATATCTGCAGCACGTGCACTCGTACCTATGACGTCATCTACATAACAAACGGCCCTGAACTAGCGTATGAACACAGCTATATAATACATTGGCACTAGGTATAATATTACATCCGTAATAATCTGTATTTTTTATTGATAATGTTGGGTAAGAGAAAGTAATATTATGATATACTATTAATGAATTTCGTGTATTTTCAAATTCCTGATGTCTTTGCTGAATTCCTCATTATACGTGTGATGAAATACTTATTTCAGCAAGTTAGCCATGAAGGATTGACCCCGAAAGTGAGTGAGTGTGGTTTAACGCCGCTTTGAACACTATTTCAGTTATGTCACGGCGTTTGAGCTTGAAGTGGGCGAAAGCCCAAATTTATGTATGTCTTAGATCTTTACATTTCTGGTAAAACCCTAAAGGACAGGTTCGGTGCTGACAAACCAAGAACATGGTCATAGCGAATCTGGGATTCGAACCCACGATCATAGGTTTCTGGCAGGCTAAGGCACGCAACTCTGCACAGGTAATTGCAGCGTCTTAGACTAGTGGGCCACCCCTGCCCTATACCCTTAAGAATAGCCACGGGGGGTATATATAAATGTTTATAATCGGTGTAGGTTTGTACTTTCATAGAACTGACATTCATCAATGATTGAATAAATAAATAAATGAGTGTGGTTGATACAACAGCTTTGCATTATTTGAATACAATATCAGAGGTAAAGTTGAACGACGATGATTTATCACAATGGATATGCATGACTATCAATAACCCTTAACTACTGAATGTTTCATGAGGGTATATTTCGTGTAATGTTGGTGTTGTCGTTGCACCGTGTTCAGGGAACATCAGAATGCATATCCAGGATGCCATTCGCAAGTATCGCCAACGACAGTGAGCGTTGATAGAATACTCATCAACACAAACATAAAACTGTCATCTAGTTGGTTTAAGTTGGTCTTTATCACATCCACAAGGGCTAACGCTCTGGTCATTTCTTTAGGTCAGCGGACCCCAAAGTAACCACTGTGTTCTTTTCTGTCATAGCGGCTTTGGCGTCTTCGAAATGTTGGTCCACAATTTCTTTCGGTGTGCACCCGATACGGAAGTAGCTAATATCCCCTGAAAACACAACACACAAATGACGTTAAGGTGATGGGAAGTTTCGTATCCTATGGTGTTAACTAGTGTTGCACAGGTTGAACGCTAGCTTGATATATTTTATTCAAACATTCAAGGAAACACTGAGCCGATACTTCCTTTGATAGGGATTTACTAGAGGATTAACTCCATGGCCACTAACAGCAACGGACGGATGTGTTCGGGTAATCTCATAACAGTGACATCCCGTTAGTCTGGAAACCCCGCTATTCGGGTGATTATTTTAGGACGTGTTTTGCATACAGTGGCGTTGCTCCGTTACAATGACTCCATATTCCGGACATTTATAAATCGGATGATTTCCCTGAAAACGACACTGTCCGGATTAACGGGGTTTCACTGTATACAAATGAATGTGGTTTTACCTTGATCTATTTTCATACAATTGACCACTGTGGACGCCACAAGTTCCCGAGATTCACCATCACATATAACAGCATCTAGTTTCTGGCCTGCAATACAACAAAAAGACATATTTAATCTCTGAAGCACGTACATGCAAATTGAGGGGACAAAATGCAAGCGTTATCACAACGTTACTAGGCTGAAAAACACTAGTTGACACCGGTATCAAATAAATCACCATCGAATAAAAAATTCTTTTTTTTCCCCTTCATTTTAGCCCCCACCATCAAACATGAGTATACAGTAAACTACGGTTATAACGAACTCAAAGGGACTACTAATTTTAGTTCGTTATAACCGTAGTTCGTTATAAGCACATATACAGCATAACTACAGCAAGTAGTCGGGACCAAAAAAGTAAGTTCGTTATATCCGTCAGTTCGTTATAAGCGTGTTCGTTATAACCGTAGTTTACTGTAATTGTTTATCTCATTATACAACTGATATAAGATTTGATATTTGATCTGTCAAGGATTTCTTCATTGGAGTAGAATCCAACTATAAAAAAACATTGTAAGTACATTAAGTACTGAATTCAATCTAAACACACGCAATACATAGATAGAGTAGTGCAACGCTAAGGCAAACAACAGTGTGACCTAATTCGTACGTGAGGTTTATTTAAAAATGTTACGGCCATCTAACTCCTTCCGGGGATCAGAATTAACGTCGTAATAAGAATTAAGGTTGAGGTTGGAGTAATGCAAAGTTAAATGGTTTTAAAGCATCCTTTTACCGAGTATGTTCATTCATTAAAAAATGTTTAAGCTCATTATAATGACCATTAGAGTTGCGGTCGGTGGAATACGTGCAGGGTGCGATTGTACACACTGCTTACGTGCTTTTAACGTTTAAAGATATTTAGACCCTAATTCGGTGCAATTACTACAAAATAACTTGACGAACTGTTTGTAAACGCCATCACGTGTGAGAATTGAGGAACAAGTATACGTGTGTTAACTTCATATTGCCATAAAATGCATGTCATAATTCAATTCAAAATCATAAATTATGAAACAATGTATCTCTTCCGTGAATATTCGATATTGAAATGGGGTTTCATATTGTGAATAATATAAGGCAGCTCTATAATGTATAATAGTAAAACAGATAACAAAATATATCAATAAACTACGTTTATAACGAAAACGCTTATAACGAACTGACCGTTATAACGAACTTTTCTTTTAGTCCCAGGCATTTGTTGCATATATTCTGTATATATGCTTATAACGAACTACGGTTATTACGAACTAAAACAACAGTGGTCTCCCTGAGTTCGTTATAACCGTTGTTTAGTGTATTAGAAATTATATTTTCCATATCTGTAAATGGAACTAGTATTCGTCAAAATGCATAAAGTAAGTTCAAGATGGGAGTCAAGGTAGATTCGATTGACAATTCTGACTGAAATTATAAAAATAAATGAACAATGACCTACCCAAAGACCCAATAAGCATACTGTGATGAGTGCTGTCGGCGCCACCGCTGGGGTTACCGGAAGTGAGAGCAATAGGTCCAGACCAGGATACCAGGTAAGCAAGGACACAACTGTCAGGTACCCGGATGCAAATGCTGTCCTTGGTACCAACAAGATCATAGGCATCCCCGACCCCAAGATTGTACATCCATTGTCCTTTGGGTACAACACAACTGATACCACCTGGGTAGCATCTTTCCATGAAGTTCCATAGTAGCGGGCTGAAGTCGGGGGTGGCTGCTTTCAACTGATCCAGGTTGGCGAGACAGAGGCAGATGGGCTTCTCTGGGGGGCGTTCCTTGACGGTGTAGATGCGCTGAATGGACTCGGGGTGTTTGCAGGAGGCTGCGATGGCGTAGACGGTGTCTGTTGGGGTGCCGATGACGCCGGCGTTGTCCAAGACCTTGGCTACCTTCCGGAGGGCGGACGATCGACGTGAGGGGAAGAGGGGACACGGGGGGTTTTCGTAGGGGTCAACGTACTTCTCCTGTAGTGCAAAAATGAGTCATGATATCATATTTGTTTTGTTTTTTGTTTGTTTGTTGTTTTACACCGCACTCCATATTCCAGCTATATGACGGCGGTCTGTAAATAATCGAGTCTGGACCAGACAATCAAGTTATTGACATCATGAGCATCAATCCACGAAATTGGAATACGAAGACCAAGGAGACCAAGTAAGCGAGCCTGATCACCCGATACCGTTAGTCGCCTCTTACGACCAGCATAGTCGCCTTTTACGGCAAGCATGGGTTCTACCCCGAATCTTCACGGGTCTCATGATATTATAACGAACGTCATGTACCATTGCAGACTTTCATCATGAAACCTTCTATTTATGTTGGTTTGCACCCTGTTATGATCATTCTTATTATCGTATGAAATAGTGTTCTTGTGAGATCACCGCAGGTTCGTTATCGTCACTATCTCCTGACATCAGCTCTCCGCGTCTCGAACAACGGATTAATCGACCTTAGTAGGGAGTTTCCTTAAGATTACGGAAATGGTTGCTTCGCTTCTATTTACTTACCTCAAAAACTGGATGACCGACAGGGATGACCACGTCCATCAACACGCCGTTTACCAACTCAGCAATAGCTCCATAGAGACACACGGCACCTACAACGACAGTGGATATAAATTGTGGTAATTACACTCGGGTATTCGGTATATTCGACTTCATAACGTCCGGTGTCCACTGTACTTGGAAATCAATACTCATTGGGAAATGGAGGGTGGGGGTGGGGTGGGGGTAGGGGGGGGGGGGGGGGGGGGTGTGTGTGTGTGGGGGGGGGGGGGGGGGGTGGGGGGGGGTGGTGGTGGTAAACGTTGGTTATTTTATATGCGATTGGTCGTCATACCTGTACTTGTCGTACATAGAGTAGCCTTACTTTGAAAGTATGACATACACAGCGATGGATGATAGAATTTGGCTTTTAGTTGGTTTGAATATGCAATGGTTGAAAATTCATTCGGTATATCCGAAGTTATCTGATCCACGGGGTTGGAACATAAATTGAGTATGCAATCCTCGTATATTCGGCATAAACGAAGTTGACTTTACTTCATTCCGGGGTGGTTGGAATATAATGGAGTATGCTGTTGATGATTATTCGACTTACAAGCAAGAACGGCTGTGACGAGGATCATCCAGGTGGGGTTGGTGTTGAAGCAGCGGACGACGAGTGCGATACTGCACAGCTCCATGAACATGGAAAAGGGGATCCACACCCGGGTGAACACCGGCGTCACAAACATCCCGATTGTATGCAGGACCAGAATCCCCACAGCAGCAGAACGCAGGGGGAATGCCTGGGTGTCTGAAACAAAACAAAAAAATTAACTAATTATTCCAATTTCACTTCAATTTGTTGTTTTATAAAAAGCCTTGAAAATGATGATTGAAATAGTAAGATATGCATGTCATAGTTTCCGATCTATGAACGAAGTTTCCGTTCTATGTTGCTCCAGTTCGTAGATATTCGCCAAACAGGTATACATAATTATGTTTAACACCTGGTAGCAGTGTTCGAAAAAGCGCCTGCCCGTGGGGCCGTGGCAAGTAGATTTCGTGTCCGGCCCGTAGTTTCAGCGCTGTATGGGTCCTTATGGCCTGCAGTAAACTTACGAGTTTATATATTTCTCACAAAAAGCTATTTTTTAAATGAGGGCCTGAGAAGTTTAGTCAGGGCCTGCAGCTTCTAAAGTATGTGGGTTCTGATGGCAGCTTGGGGCGGTCGGGTAGCCTAGTGGTTAAAGAGTTCGCTCGGCACGCCGAAGACCCGGGTTCGATTCCCGACATGGGTACAATGTGTGAAGCCCATTTCTGGTGTCCCCCGCAGTGATATTGCTGGAATATTGCTAAAAGCGGCGTAAAACCATACTCACTCACTCTAATGGCAGCGTGGCAGTTTGTTTTATTTCAAGCATAACAAAATATTATTTTCAGGAAAGTTGACAGAACTCACTATCAATAAGCAGAGCGCTCCATACAGCCCAGAAGCCAGCCAGAACGAGGATGTAGTAGGCCTTCGCTAGACTCCCCGCGGTGAAGGAGAGTCGGACTGCGTACAGGTTGAGCAGGATCCCAGCCACCACCATCCAGGGGAGGGCCAGGGTCCCCCCTCTCTGGCCCTCAAGGGGGGCCAGGCACGCCAAGGCGACGCTGTTGGCGATGAGCGCGAGAGTGTCGACTATCTTCATGTCGACCTTGTCTTCGTCTCTGTACCAGCTGTTGTCTCCCTTGCCGCCACTGAAATAAAGATAGAGAACGCCATTTATAATGTTGAAACTCTCTGAGGTTCAGAAAGGGAGTTTCAAATATGCTTAATGACTTTCTAGTCATCTCATATCATAATCATTGGGGCGGTCACTTGTGTAGTTAATCGTAGTGAATATGTGAATTAATATATTTTAATATTATATACAATGTAGATGTAGTTTTCTATCTATACATAAGGAATTAGTCGGAAATTTGATGGCATGAAAATAAATAAATAAATAAATCTATAAAAATAATGGTAAATAGATAAACAAATAATTCAATAAATAAATAGATTTAAAAATTAACCAGCTAAAAAAATGTTAACATTTATGAATATACTATATTTATTGTTATTGAAGATATTTAGATATTTGAAGCCATTTATAAGTAAATGTGCAAAATCATAGGAAAGGAAACTACAATTGCAATTCAATCAGCAAATGTTTTTTACCAAAGTGTGTCTCTTTATACAACACATCCATGTACCAGGCTGACCCAAGGCGACAAAACAAAGATAGGTCAGTGATTTTAGAAGGGCGGCAATCGTCTTTGATCTTTGTCTGTTGTCTATTTCCGCTAAAGGTGAAACTTACACATTCCACATCACCACATGCCGGCGTCACGCATGCTTATTGTGCAAGATGGTTATTTTCATTACGTATTTTCTGTCAGGCCATGTCCGGTAAAAATTTGAACTATTGAACTCCAGTCACGGGCGGGTTAGATTTTCTTTCATAACGTGGCGTTTGTCATTGTTGTGTAACACGTTTGTCTTGGGTGTGTAAGTGCTTGTATTGGGTTTTTTAAACGAAAACTATTTTGTTTTTTATTATTTTTTACACTAAATCTTAACATTTTGTCGGTGAAATGAACGTCTAACCCGTAAGTGAATAAAAATGAAAATGAATTTTGTACATTGTTTTCAATAATCGGGAACAATAAACAATTATTTGATCAAAGATTCTCGAAAAGCCTACTGACTGCATTCTTCATTGTGTCAACGCAGATCAGTAATATTCAAACCTTTCTAGGTTATCACTCTGGAATGGCCTGAAGAATTTGGAAACGTGATCCCTATACAATGTTGATATCTACTGTATTATATGATCAACAACTCAGAAACTGATGATTCATTTTGATACATACCCCATTCCCTTGAATATTCCGATTAAAGCCTTCTTCAGCTTGTCTGCATGGACAACCTCTTCCCCAATCCACATGACAGACTTCTCCGCGATGGAGTTCTCCAGATGTGCCATGGACACATACAGGGACACGATGGCGAAGATCGCCCCCGAAACCCCGAAGGAGAAGTTGTGGGCCCGATGAGGGATGTGGTCGACGGAGAGTACCACCACGCAGAGAAACAGGAAGTTGTACAAGAAGACGACCTTATTACGGGCAGCGGACAAGAGGAGGAGGAACAGGGCGATCGCGATGAGACCCCACTGACCGAAAAAGTTCACCCTGAAGTCGTCGATGCCGGGGAAGTTGAGGGAAATGAGAAGCTGGACCGCTCCCCTTGACAACCAGAACAGGAAGTAGATGGCGAACTCGACGGCGTGGAAGAAGTCGTGTCTGAGGAACGCGTAGTAGCTGGCGAGGAGGTGGCAGTAGAAGCAGTAGACGAACATAGGCATGGCGGCCCGGAAGTCGGAGAAGTATCCCAGATGATGGAAAACCAACGTCGCCGCAGGCACCACGTTGCCCATGTAGCCGAGGCCGTAGGGTTCACCGTACTTGGTGTTCTTCCTAGCTTCATTGGTAGTGTTGGGGTTTTCCTTGACTCGGATAAGAAGTGGGTCGAAGATGGCGTTTCCAAGGCCGGGCAGGATGTATCTCTGACTCACCCCTTTCAGTGCCATGACAACCGAGGCGTAGACACTGGTGATGACGATGAAGAGTTCGAACGCTGCGGCGACTCTTCTTCCCCAGTCGAAGAAGGCCCCAACACCTTCGAAAATGAGAGTCAACATGATAGCAAAGAGGACAGGGGGCATGATGTAGTTGACGGTGATGGCGCAGAGAGACAGAATGACTGCCACGGTCATGAAGCCTATCATACCGGGGAGGATCCCCACCCTCAGGATCTCGGCCCCCATGACTGGGGCTAGGATGTGGTTGATGCCCATCACTGTCCACAAGGCGGCGAACACGGCGAAAGCTGTTCCGGTCAAATGGTCGTTACGCCGGAAGCAGAGAAGAGATGCTACCAGCTGCAGAAACCCTCCCATCACAATCAGGTGCGCCCCTGTGGAAGAAAATATATATACTGTAGCCATGGCAATTAAATAAATAACGTGAAGAAGAATCTACATATCTTTGAAAAATTACCTTTCATTTACCGAGCTACTGATATCAGCGTATCATGGAGATGCATTTTTCATCAGTTAATGTTTATCAACAATTCAGAAACTGAAGTTTTTAATTGACAAAATCTTAAAAAATTATCCTACATTTCCCTTTTTCCCCGTTATACCCGTTTTCTGTTTCCATTTTCATATTGTACAATGCAGTATGTAAATATTGTAAAGCATCATTTTGCGATCTTATAATAGGCAGGGAAGGATTTATTAGAGGTCTGTGGTTATTGCTCAACTTGCCTACGTTGGGTACGCTTTATACATGAATATAATTCTTCAAGTCAACTGCAGCATTATTAAAAATCTACACTTTTGATATTTTTATAAATATTATTCTATCCATTCAACTTCATTTCTTTATTACAAGTCAATGCAACGAGCCCAGCTATACCAGCCCAACATAAGCAACACGCAAAGCTGCCCACAAACTGTGAGGAAGTGAGTGGGTCGTCTCCACCATCAACAAACCAAGGCTGTACTTCCTAGCCTCCACTGCTCGTATACCGTTATACGGGAACCTTAACGTGACTCGCGATTAACCCCGTTAACCAATTACCCGGGAAATCCTGTCATCACCTTAATCGCAGTTGATGCCCTACGGCCGTGAGACCAGAGTGTTGATGGAGATTAGGAAGTTAGTTTTTCCTGTCTTTAACTTGTTGACATACCATATTTCAATATTCGTTTGATGTGGGTTTTATATGTTTTTATAAACCATATTGGTGTTACAAAAAACATAATACTCTTATAATTGGGTTAAATTTTGAAAAAACTGCAGAAAATCTGCAAATTCTTCCGGAAATGTAATATAACTGGAATGTTAAATTTGTTTTTTGTCACGAAAAACATGTAGTTTAGCTCTGTTTGAGTATAAACATTATCTGTCACGTGCGAACAGATCATAAAGTGCACTTTTTGTCTGTATTTTTTCTAAACCCTTTGTTCTAGGGTCTTTGTGTGTACTTTTCTCGCTTCCAGAAATCAATTTAGAATTTTAACTGTTTCTTGACTCAAAACGTAACTCAAACACATTCATGAATAGAAATGTTGATCTATTTTATCATGGTTGTGATCTCTTCGCGTTGTATTAGAACATGTCTTTTTTGCTTTAATGCCCCACCCCGTGCCTGTGCAAACAAGGGACGTAACTCCTATCGGCCTCGCAGTCCACCCGTTCCAGAAACCCCGCACAACACTTGTACTCGGCCATAAACTTGATTTAGCTATGATAATTTTACAGAATATTGTAATATACTTAATTCATAATATTTTAATAAGTGGATATCTACACGCATGACAAAGAAAACTATTCATATGCCAATAATTGGACACCCTTTCAGTCGAAGCTGAGAGAGTGAATTTTAAACCATGGACTGGCGTGTGTGTGAGTTTGATTGACAGGTAAAGTGTTGACCGTACAGCTGACCGACGTGTCTTGGAAGTTATTTCGCAGGAAACAGTGACCGATGGGAAACAATTGAGAGGAAGAAGAACAAATAAAAGACAAAAGAAGGTCGAATTGTGTCTGTCTGCCTTACATGTTTTAATGGATTCGTGACTACCTGATCTGCCGCGTTTCTAATTAGACACGCACGCGGTATTTTGGAAACGGTTCTCTTCGCTACTGCTTGTTAGAATGGTTAAAGGAATTACTTCCTTGAAAACATTCTTTGGGCTTGTTGTAGTACGTCAAACGAACCGAAATTGATTATTTTAAATCACAGTCATATTTGATCGAAGAGTTTTTTCATGGTTATTTGATGACAATATGTAAGTGATTGAGTGAGTATGGTTTTACGCCGCTTTTGGCAGTATTCTAGGAATATCGCGGTTGTGGACCCCAGAAATGGGCTTCACACACTGTACCCATGTGGGGAATCGAAACTGGATTTCGGTGTGACGAGCGAACGCTCTAACCACAAGGCTACCATACCACCCCCTTAACAGTATGTAAATATTACATTTGCTGGTTGTCATGGTAACAGCAAAGATATATGATAACCAGGTATAATCACTACGTCATTTTGATGGAGACCTTTTGAAATTAGGAATATGACCTATACGTGTTATGTTGATAGATTAATCATTTATAGTAAATGACGGCGATGGTGCACCAGAAATGGGTTAGACACATTGTACCCATGTGGGGCATCGAACCTGGACCTTTGGAGTGAAGAGCGAACGCTTTAACCACTAGACTACCCCACCGTCCAACACCACTTAGATACGCCAAAACGACAAATATTCTTGCGACCTTCTTCTACGTTCGTATCTACCCACACTGTACATTCAATACGCATTGGAATTTATATTCCCGCTTTTTCAGCTGTAAACCTGTTTCGTAAAAATATTTAATTTCCGCGATCATTAGTCGTTGAAGTTTTAGATTCGACTTTAACATCCATATTTAGATCTAAACCGCGGGAGCGGGAACAAATATAGACAGAAAACTGATATTTCCGTTTCATCGTTGTTGTTACATTCTTTTTATCTGACGGTTGTTCTTTAATGTAAACCAGATTACAAGGGGAACGTTTCAAAAGGAAATGAGAGCTATATCCTAAGGTTACACAACAGTGGTAATCGGCTTAGCGACAAGCTTAGACTTAAAACAGTAGGCGACTTACATGTATTTCCTTTTTATACATACCAGCTACACATGTGTGGCTTCGGAAAAACGGAACATTTAGCTACTTGTGCAAACATTTCCAATTTTTAATGCACTTACAAAGTTGCACTTTGGTGATGTACAAGACATATTTTTTTCTATAAATGGATGTCTGCATTTTTTACTTCAACAATGAGATTTTCTCATTTACAATCTTCTAAAATCTCATCAAAGATATATATTATTTTTTAATATGATTTTATTTTGTAGTCGTGACAACAGAAATGATAGTTATCAATAATGGTAATCGAAGAGCATTTTCTCTGTAATCTCACAAACAGTTTCAGTTGAATTGAACATTGTCATTGTATTGAAAATTGAAAAATATCGAAATTTGGAATATATGTTTCAACATTTTTGACAAACTCCTGTTATGTCCCGTTGAAATCTTAAGCCGGCGATTTCTATTTGTTAAGTTACGCAAATGGCGGGGGAACGCAATAGGGAAGTAAGCGGCACACGAGGAGACGTTTCCTTGTGTGTGAAAGCATATCTCCAACATAAACAAAATAATGTTCTACCAGAAAGGTTAAGATGAAAGAAACAAAATCCCAAACGAGTTAACGTCAAAATATATGAAAATATGAGTGTTAAATCATATTTCAGTTCAGATTGGGACCAATACAAACGTATGAATAAATATTGATTGATATATGTTGTTTTAAATAATTAATAAATATTAATGCCCAACCATATATTTTAAAATGGAACATTTTTTTTTACTTACCTGCGAGAGTCATTGCGGGCTGTGAGAATGGACCGTCAAGCATGTTTTCTACTGCAACGATCAAAGCTGACATAATATTTGCAATCAAACCAAGGGTGCCAGGTTCGGCGTATAATATCGCCGCAAAGGCTTCAACCTTCTCTTCTGGATCCATAATTGTCGTCTGCGATCAGAACGGTCGTCTGTTCCGATCACGTCTGCTTGAAGTGATTCTCACACTCTGGTGGAAAATAGAGTCGACGACCTCGGGAATTTGTAATAATTGTCCGCTTTAGTTCGAGAAACGATGAGGAAAATATTTTTGAAAATGAGCTGTCCTTTAGGTTAAATGTCGCCTGGCTAACTACTGGCCATGGAACTCGCGCGAAAATATTCAGTGTTGCCTTCAAACGAGTTCCAGTGTTTGTGGTGATGAAGTAAGCAGTTCTCCGTTTTGTGTTGTCAACGCGGACACAGGGAAACGCCACACGAAGATTCCCGTGACTCGCAACCCTAATCTCCCGAAATGTCAAATTGCTGCAGTGTCGTCGCGAACCTTGAATATATAACCAATTTTGATACGGGTCTACAACGACGTATATCTATTTTTATCACTGGGTGGAGTCACGACATGCGTAGGCTTTGATATAATATTTTCCAGAGTGGGTGGCTTTCCCAAAACGCATGTATCTTTCAATCTTAGACGTCATTCTATATCTGAGGCCGGATCTTCCCGGTCCGAACAGTTGTAGCGCCGCCCCCTGCCGTTTCTTACTCACCTCCACTTTTAGCATAACCCTTGTCTACACTACATCGCGCACATTGATTCGCGCACTGACCGCTGCTCTCTTTTCCTACTAACCAATCGGTAGGGACACGTCTGTTCTTGTAGCCAATCCGTAAACCCGGAAGAACCTCTGCACTGTTATTGTAAGGTACATCAAAAATTAGTAACTTACCTGACACGGAACTAGTCGCGGAATGTTCGTGCGCGCAGGTGACAGATGAAAAAGGCACGGCGTGACAAAAAATATTATCTTCATTGAAATCATATGATTGCATGACGTCGAGGAACATCGCCACGCCTTCATACTGACAAAATCCGCCTTATATTTAAATGAGCTAACCATTTTCACAGTTTCATACACAGTGACGTTTTTTCTGCCACCGCAAGGAAAAGAGAGTGCGAGTGGTTTTATTCTCAAAGGCCAGTTGTTTGCCGACACAAGACGAGTAGCAATTGAGACGTCAAGACCACATAACGAACATGGGCCTGATACGGCGAACCTCGGCCACTGTAGCTGGTCTATACTGTACATTTGTCACACTACTTGTAGTGTGTATCTTTAACTTTAGTGTTACAAACAACACCCTCCCCATCAACGTCGCGTATGGAGCCGTCCTCATCGTGCTGTCAATACTCAGCATCATTGTCGGTAAGTCAAGTTTCCTTGTTTCAATTTATAAATTATAAATTAACATTTCAAATTTTCTTAATATCTTTTTGTAGTTACCAAGCTATATATGTATGAACGCAGTTTATTTTATTGATGATGTTTATCATAATACTAGTCATATTTATATTAAAATATCGTCACATACGTGAAGTGATATTGATGCGAATTTTTAAATAATTAAGTTATATTGTATTGACTCGATACTCTCCTTAAAGGTCATATCGCTTATAGCTGATACGATGTTGAAAATTAGAACGAATATATATCAATAACAAAACAGTGGTTGACATTTTGTATATACGATCTCAAATATATATATATGTAAATATATATACATACATTCATGTAAATCTATTCACTTTGTATATACTTATGGAAAGAATTAACGGAACAAATATAGAGAACAGTTTCACCTGTCATTTTGCCTTTACCCTGTAACTTGACTGGGATGTTTGTGTTGTAAAACAAAATATTAGATATTTGACTATTGTTTATTATAAGAAGCTAAACTTAAATTGGTGTTAAATGAAGATGCTTTTTTCATGAATATATAAATGAGAATTGAGAAATGGGTACATATACACATCGACAACTATATCAATCCTGGTATCAGGAGTGAGTGAGTGAGTCAATTGAGTTTAACGCCGCTTTTAACAGTATTTCAGTTATATCGCGGCGTGTCTGCTTAATGTGGGAGGAAAGCTCGAAGTAATGCATGTCTTAGACGTTTACCACTTCGATGAAACCCACGAGCACGGGTATGGTGCTGACAAACCTAGAAACATGATCGGGGCGAACCGGGATTGGAACCCACAATCATAGGTTTCTGGCATGCCCAAGGGACGCAACTTTGCACAGCGAATCGCGGCGCCTTAGACGACTGGGCCACCCTCCTGGTATCTGGAAGTATTGGACATTTGAAACTGCACCTACATATCCATATTATTTTCATTATATCAAACCTAATATTATCATACAGCATCCCTTCCGTTCCTCTCGCTGTTATAGATTTCAATGTAGGTAACATCAATTACTCGTGTATGTCTTTAGAGGCCAATTCATGTACTTTGTCAAATGCGGTGTATATTTCATCGATTGAATTCTAACCATTCATATTTTCGAAGTCAATTCATGCCTTTTGTTCCATTGATTCGATTGTCTGCTAAACACCTTTTGACTTGACGTCATGAGGCATTTCACTGACGCGATAATGCAACATGACGTCATCCATTGTTCATGACGCGCTAGTCGATTCAACAAGAGACTATAGGTGTGGATGTCTCTTTCATGTGACCTACGTTTATGTGTATGTAAGGAACCAGTCCCAAAACGTAATCGTAACACGCGAGTTAAAACTATACTTGTGATCCAGTAAATTCCAACTAAACCTGTCATTAGCCGTCTTTCGACACAGAGGATGAGACTGTTGATTCGCCAGTTTTAATATTTATTTAAATTACAGCCTAACATCAGTTGCATTTAGGCCATATAGAGTTTCACCCTCCTGTCTTTTCATACCCCATATATCAACACGAGTCGATAAAAGTTCCAAATTCCCATGCAGGCCAGTGTTTGGATGATAAACGTGGAATAACATTACAATTTGCTGATTATATAACAAAAATAAATAAGGCTAATTTCACTGGCTCGCGGATAGCCGTTGAAAAAAAGTAACGGAGGAAGGAAATGAAAAAAGATGTGTACTTCCTTAAGACTGTAGACAAGTGTCCATGGCCTGGACCGTAGCCCGCTGACTTACCGACGACGTGGACAGGAAGACGAGGAACTGAGGGGATGTGTGATGCAGAGCATTTCACATTTATTTCCTTTGGAAGTAACCGCAAACATGTATATAAATAATTCCGCGTCGTGTGGTTACGTTTTTAAATAATGCAAAGCCATGTGTACTCTACTGCTATTGCATCTCTGAAATCTCAAACATTCAGTAGCCAATTCGTCATTCTATCAAATTTTATCAGTTAGTATTTAATTTTTAAGCATATAAAGGCTTAACGTCATATACCACTGCGACGTCATACAAACTAAGGTGCAAAATTTATGTAACTGACAATTGAAAGAATTGTTTCATTATGTCATTATTTAAATATCACTCCTTTCCTGCGACAGTTTGTGAAAAATAATTTTCGGCGCCGTAATTTTGGTAAAAAATATTGGTTCAATGAAGACTGGGATAAGAAATGAATTTGCAACCACATGGCCATATTTGAAATGTTGTTAATTTATGCCGAAAAAAGCAAATTTATTGATTTTCAAAGATAAATTATACTAAGGTACCAATGAGTTGTTGTGTACTATGCGAAAATTAAAAACATTACAAACGTATGATTCCTATATTGATAAAATCATTTAAATAGAATCTGCCCTTATTGATGATTTCACGTTCAGCCCACAACGAAAACATCGACTCAACGTGATACGTGCGAGTCATATCACTACAACTTCATGTCGTTGCTGACCGTCTCCGTGGTCTAGTGGTAGAGCGCCCGCCCGGAGAGGGGAAGGTCCGGGGTTCGATCCCCGGCCGCGTAATACCAAAAAACGTTTAAAGATGGTACTTGTTGTTACCCTGTCTGGAGTTCGGCATGAAGGGGCTAAAACAAGGACTGGTCTGCTCGGAGACAGTATACTGTGTCTGAGTGGGGTATTCATGTTAAACTGCGGCATGGTATCTCAGTGAGCTACCACTATCAATCGGCATCAGTCCGAACTAGTACAAGCAGCCTCACACATACGTGCATGCACGTCGCTATATAAGTGCAATAATCTTGGACGCGACGTTAAACCTAAATTCATCTCACCTCATGTCGTTGCTGATGTATTCATTTTGACTTTCAGGTATATCTGCCGAACACCCTGAAGAAAGCGTCCTCAGATCCTTTCAGCTCTGTCTCGCGGCCATGTGGGGCAGCATCGGCATCTATCACGTGACTGAAGGCACCAACCCCCAGGGTGTGACAGATTCCCAGGCGCTATGGGCGGGGTACGGCGCCTTCCTCCTGATATTCCTCCTCTTCGTCATCGGAGCGCTTCAGCACAAGGCGAAGTTTGCAGCGGTTCTCTCCCTTGGTTTCTTTCTCTCCTGCATTTTCGAGATTGCCTCCCTTTGGCGCCCCCTCCGCTCCAGTGCCGGTTCCTACTACATCCTCCTCGCCGCTCTGACCCTCTACAGCATCGCCAGCAACCTCATCACCAAGCTGAAGAAACGAGACGACAAAGACAACGTTGAACCCCAAAACCACGCTCAAGGTCACTCGAAAGATTACATCCCTCTGGGCCATGCTATGGACACGCTAGCCTTTGCTATATTTGCTGGCCACGTGACCGGTATCTATAACAACCCCAGACAGGAGTTCATGTGGGTCGTATCAGCTGGTATATTCCAATCGGTCGCCGGCGTCGTCGCTGTCCGTCGTTCCGACGCCTACAACGGCTGCCTCTTTTTCCTCCACGGCATGTTCTGGATGGCCAACGCTTACACCCTCACTGTGGAATATGCCACGGGAACCCCAATGCCACCCCTTATAGCTGTGCAAGTCATCTACATCATCACCTTCTTCTGCGTCTCAATTATCTCCCTTACCCGCGAGATCTACCAATTCCTTCAACACCTTTCTCTCTGCATCATGTGCATCGCCTTCTGCGTCAACGGTTTCTCCGGCGTCTTCCTCGGCGCCATGGGGTGGATCAGCTTCATCTTCTCCCTCTACGGCCTCGCCGCCCACATCAGTCGACTCCAGAACGGCTCCTTCAAGATCCCGCTCGGGGTCCGATGCGTTGAGACGGCAAAACTGAAAAACTTCCTGGTGAACAAATGCCGCTGTTGCGCCGTCTGCATCTACGGTAGGCTGAAGGAGTCGGGAGGACGTCGTAGTAGCAGCCTCTTCTCCTCCAGTGAGATGTTGGGCTTCTCCAAGTATCTGGACCTCGATAGTGTCGGGTTTGCCCTCAATGCTGTATCGGCTCTGGCCGTTGTCTGGGCCCCACTGGGACCAGCAGTCATGCCATGGGTGATTGGGTTCGGCGGTATTCCTCAGATGGTTGTAGCATCCATTGCCTTCGCTAGAGGCCTGACAGTAGAGAGCTGTGCCTTCTTCACCTTCTCCTGCCTCTGGTTGATCTGGGGACCTGCTCGTGGACTTGGCATCCTCGTCCTGGACAACAGTGTTGCTGCTGCTACTGGTTGTATCGCCTTCCTGTGTGTGGGCCTCCTCAACATGGGTTTGGCCGCCCTCATCAACAAGGCATGGTTCGTCGTCTGTGCTGTCTTCGAACTGGTCGTCCTGGCCTTCCTGCTGCGCGTTCTCGCCGTCCCTGCTGTCAGCGTCTACGAGATTGTCATCATCATCATATTCGTCATCGTCTGCGTGTACTGCTTCGCTGCCTCTGCTCTGAAGACTGTGTGGGGTCGGGAAGTCCTGCCCATGGGTAAACCTCTTCTCCAGGTTAGCTACATTCACTCTCAAGGGGACAGGGCAATATGGGCAGATGCGAAGAAGCAAAGCGGAGTTAACACAATTGGAGGTATGTATTCAATCCCTTACAAATTCATTGAAAATTACCATGACCATGCACGTTACATGCCTATTTATCTGTATACATTTGAGGGGCGGTCGGGTAGCCTAGTGGTTAAAGCGTTCGCTCGTCACGCCGAAGACCCGGGTTCGAATCCCGACATGGGTACAATGTGTGAAGCCCATTTCTGGTGTCCCCCGCCATGATATTGCTGGAATATTGCTAAACGCGGCGTAAAACCAAACTTACTCACTCACTCACTTTATACATTTGTCTTCAAGCGTAAATTAAATTGAATTTATTGTTCACAGGCTTTTCAAATACAAAAGCATCTTCTCCCGTACTAACATGACTTTTAGTGTCACCATTGTATATACCCTTCTCGATTTCAGAGATAATGAACAAAGGCGGCATCTGTGGTATTCCGACTGATGTGGTGTACGTGCTTGTCGCTGCTGTCAAGTTCCCAAAGTCCGTCGAGGTAAGAAATACTATCATGCAAAACTACCGGGCAAGTCCAAATATTCATGCATTCTATGACATCCAAATGAGGCTGAAACATCAACCAATATGCTACTCAAAAACAGTCATGACAAATTAACTATTTTAGTAATATGAAAGGATCTGTCTGTCCTTAACGTATTTTGAGTAGTATTTACTATTTACCTTACCGACAACGATTCTCAGTTGACTGCATCTAATTCTCTCTGAGTTATGCACTCAGTTATTCATTATAGAGTTTCATGTTGTGAGCTCATGTTTGAACCTGTGTGTGTCTGGTACAGAGAGCCTACAAGTCCAAGAAGGAGGCCGAGGACCGACCTATGTCAATGTGGATCTCCCGGAGAGATCAGATCGCGGCAGGACGTCCTTTGTTTGGGGAGCTCCTGTGGGACTTTATGGAGGAGATCTGGCCAGGAACTGTCAGTCTAGTGCTGCCCAAAGGTACGCTCCACTTTATATAGCCAGTCTAGTGCTGCCCAAAGGTACGCCCCACTTTATATAGCCAGTCTAGTGCTACCCAAAGGCACGCCCCACTTTATATAGCCAGTCTAGTGCTGCCCAAAGGTACGCCCCACTTTATATAGCCAGTCTAGTGCTGCCCAAAGGTACGTTCCACTTTATATAGCCAGTCTAGTGTTGCCCAAAGGTACGCCCCACTTTATATAGCCAGTCTAGTGCTACCCAAAGGCACGCCCCACTTTATATAGCCAGTCTAGTGCTGCCCAAAGGTACGCCCCACTTTATATAGCCAGTCTAGTGCTGCCCAAAGGTACGCCCCACTTTATATAGCCAGTCTAGTGCTGCCCAAAGGTACGCTCCACTTTATATAGCCAGTCTAGTGCTACCCAAAGGTACGCCCCACTTTATATAGCCAGTCTAGTGCTGCCCAAAGGTACGCTCCACTTTATATAGCCAGTCAAGTGCTGCCCAAAGGTACGCCCCACTTTATATAGCCAGTCTAGTGCTGCCCAAAGGTACGCTCCACTTTACATAGCCAGTCTAGTGCTGCCCAAAGGTACGCCCCACTTTATATAGCCAGTCTAGTGCTACCCAAAGGCACGCCCCACTTTATATAGCCAGTCTAGTGCTGCCCAAAGGTACGCCCCACTTTATATAGCCAGTCTAGTGCTGCCCAAAGGCACGCCCCACTTTATATAGCCAGTCTAGTGCTGCCCAAAGGCACGCCCCACTTTATATAGCCAGTCTAGTGCTGCCCAAAGGTACGCCCCACTTTATGTAGCCAGTCTAGTGCTGCCCAAAGGCACGCCCCACTTTATATAGCCAGTCTAGTGCTGCCCAAAGGTACGCCCCACTTTATATAGCCAGTCTAGTGCTGCATAAAGGTACGCCCCATTAATGAATACAGAACTGCTTTACAATGTATAACGGTGCTCTTTTGGTCTTCATTCAATCATTCCTTCTTTAATGATATGCAATCTTTCAAAAAATATACATGTAAAACAACTTTACTTTGGAGTACATAATACAACGCGTATACAATGCAATGATCTTTTGTGAGTTTGAGTACAATCTAAAATTACATTTACTGCAAGCCTTTTTCTGTTCAATGTGGAATATTGTGATGATGATTCAATTTGTGTCCGTTCTCCCAGGCCCGTGGCTGGACAGTCTAGGTATCGGCTACGCTGAGAAGTACATCGGCCGTCCCGACAGTATCGCCACCCGTATGCCCGACAACACCGTCACGTCCGCCCTCCTCGACATCTGCGGCCCCGTAGCCTCCACCTCCGCGAACCCCACTGGCGAGGCCGACACCACCCATCATCTCCAAGTGCTGGCTAAGCTGGGACTTGAAAACGTAAGCTTTGGCACATTATATGTTTCCAAAACATTAAACTGTGCTCCAGTTTAGAACTTTTTAGTTCCATAATGTATGACGTGATGTAGTGAGTGAGTGAGTATGGCTTGACGCCGCTTTTAGCAATATTCCAGTAATATCACGGCGGGGGGCACCAGAAATGGGCTTCACACATTGCACCCATGTCGGGAATCAACCCCGGGCCTCGGCGTGACGAGCGAACTAGGCTACGCGAACGCCCCGATAATGTGATGTAACCCAGTTTAGATGTTACCGTATACTTATAATGATGATGATGTTGATGTTGATATAGGGTAATTTATATACCGAAAGGATGCACATCACACATGGTCATGCTCAAAGCACTTGGCATAATTACTTCGGTCAACGGATCAGTGTGCATCCCAATTTCATTCTCAACTCCATTGGAAGTATACATATGATATCAGAACATTTCTACTATTAAAAGGAATAAGCAACATTCTCCTTAGCAAAAGTGTATATTTGTTGGTCTATGTACGATTTGATATGATAGCATTTGCAATAACGACAGGCAATGAGATGGCGTGTTTTATACAGGTTTTCCGTATTATGAGTGTGTGTGTGTGTTATTATCAGGTTTCTCTATTTTCCCTTTCTCACCGTACCCACATGGATATAACGAACTACAAGGAACCAGAGAAATCAGTTCGTTATATCTGTTGTTCGTTATATACGTTTTCGCTCGGAAACGTCCGCCATCTCTGACAAAACAAAACACAATACATGCCATTGCAGCAATGACTTGTATAGGAGATAAATCGTGGATTTTTTAACAGTTCGATGTATCCGTTTGTTCGCTATATCCGTGTTCGTTATATCCGTGTTCTACTGTAGATGAAAACTGAGTAACGTTGTATTTACATGTTTTAGTGTGACGGGATTCTATGCAGCGGCCCAGCTCCGGAGAACTCCGCATCCACGGTCGTGGACTGTCGGAATATCAACAAAGGGCAGCTCGGGTTTTTCCGTATCGGGATCGTCAAGAGAACCTTTGTTGAGTCGGTGTTCGAGGGAGTTCTCAACTCACACAGAGGGAAGAAGATGGGTCTCCCCGCTTCTCCTTCCACCGCCAGCCTCGGCAGCCGAGACAGCGGTATGGGCGGCGGTGACGGTAACAACACTGATTCCCCCAACAAACACGCCGACTCCGACAGCGGAGGCGGCCATGACAACCCCGCATTTGAAGACGACACCGTCTCCATCCCTCTTGACGACGTCACTACGGAAGCACAGGTTTATGAAGAGCAGATAGGCGGTAGAACCAACCCATCTTACGACGAGGAAGAGTTCTCAACCGTTACTGGTTCCGAGACATACTCTAGAGACAACCCATACGACGAGGCCGCTCCCGCTGCACCCGGCCGAGCCTCTCTGAATGTAGACTTCGGGTCGGAAAGGTCCACTGATCAGAATCCTTACGAACCTATAGCTCGATTTTCGGGTGTCCCTGCTCTTCTAAAAGCATCGAGACAGATTGGCGGTAAAAAGTCACACAGTTTTGGCGGCGCTGATGCCCATATTCGGCTGAACCCAGTCTACAAAGATAAATGAGAGTTAGTATGGACTCGTTCAATGAAACTTGCTAGTCTGTGATTTCCTGAGACTCCTTGCCTCAGCTGATTTTATTTACAACAAAGAATATAAATGTTATTCTTGATGAGGCGAACGTACGTTCACACCGTTCACAATGTTCAGACAAGTTCTTGACTGGTACCACTGGTCATTAACTTATATCTTGTTGTAGATGCTCAAAATTCAACAACTTGTCATTGGAGAATGGTTTGGAGAAAGTCTCATTGCTCATATTACTCGAGTTAAACATATGATACATATTCACAAAATACACCACAAAACACTTAAATATGTTGCCCTCTGAAGTCCTTCCTACAGTACTTACGACTTATTGATGATATTATGATTATTCTGATATTTTATTTAAACAAACTTATTATGGTGCTCTCTGAACTCTCTCCAACTGAACTTACAATAAGTTGATGATTTTATTATTATACTTATGTATATTAAATGGAATACCTTGTAAATATGTAAATAATAATTTACGACTGTGAAAACTGGCACAATGGTGCAGTCGATGTGGAATTATCAGTAACATGACACAAGCTTGGAGAAAATCCTGATATGTCGACGTCGGTTACAGCAAAATGTCATGTATAGCAAATTCTAGTCCACAAAATCTCTGTTCACGTGACCAGGCAGTACGGATATAACGAACTTAAAGTTATTGTTCGCCATATCCGTTGCAAATCGGGAGAATGAATTTGAATATGTGTGGAGTGTATATTAGTTTTCTATTTTTATGTATTTTTATACTGATGCAATGTGCAATGCGTATTTCACAATAAAATATGAACTTAAAATGATTCATTTGTTTTCCTTACCCTAACGATTTTCATATATGTTAACGACTCGTCGGAGGGGATGAATATTGAGTATCATATCAGATGAATATTGGCGCTATGGCAGCTCAATAACAGAAAGGGGCATTTTAATAGACGTGGGGTGGAGTAGATTGTGGGACATCTTTGTATTAGAATCAGTTGTTTAGAAACTACAGTTCTGAATGTGTAAGTCTGACCATAGTTCTGTTTATGTAGGTCTAACCATAGGTGTGAGTCGAACCATAGTTCTGGATGCATAAGTCGAACCATAGGCGTGAGTCGAACCATAGTTCTGAATGTGTAAGTCGAACCATAGTTCTGAATGTGTAAGTCGAACCGTAGTTCTGATTGTGTAAGTCGAACTATAGGTGTGAGTCCAACCATAGTTCTGAATGTGTAAGTCGAACCATAGTTCTGAATGTGTAAGTCTAACCATAGGTGTAAGTCGAACCATAGTTCTAAATGCGTAAGTCGAACCATAGGTGTAAGTCGAACCATAGTTCTAAATGCGTAAGTCGAACCATAGGCGTGAGTCGAACCATAGTTCTGAATGTGTAAGTCGAACCATAGTTCTGAATGTGTAAGTCGAACCGTAGTTCTGATTGTGTAAGTCGAACTATAGGTGTGAGTCCAACCATAGTTCTGAATGTGTAAGTCGAACCATAGTTCTGAATGTGTAAGTCTAACCATAGGTGTAAGTCGAACCATAGTTCTAAATGCGTAAGTCGAACCATAGGTGTGAGTCGAACCATAGTTCTGAATGTGTAAGTCTAACCATAGGTGTAAGTCGAACCATAGTTCTAAATGCGTAAGTCGAACCATAGGTGTGAGTCGAACCATAGTTCTGAATGTGTAAGTCGAACCATAGATGTGAGTCGAACCATAGTTCTGAATGTGTAGGTCGAACCTAGTTCTGAATGTGTAAGTCTAACAATTGGTTTAAGTCGAACCATAGTTCTAAATGCGTAAGTCGAACCATAGGTGTGAGTCGAACCATAGTTCTGAATGTGTAAGTCGAACCATAGTTCTGAATGTGTAAGTCGAACCGTAGTTCTGATTGTGTAAGTCGAACTATAGGTGTGAGTCGAACCATAGTTCTAAATGCGTAAGTCGAACCATAGGTGTGAGTCGAACCATAGTTCTGAATGTGTAAGTCGAACCATAGTTCTGAATGTGTAAGTCGAACCGTAGTTCTGATTGTGTAAGTCGAACTATAGGTGTGAGTCGAACCAAAGTTCTGAATGTGTAAGTCGAACCGTAGTTCTGAATGTGTAAGTCGAACCGTAGTTCTGAATGTGTAAGTCGAACCATAGTTCTGAATGTCTAAGTCGAACTGCAGTTCTGAATGTGTAAGTCGAACCTTAGTTCTGTATGTGTAAGTCGAACCGTAGTCCTGAATGTGTAAGTCGAACCATAGTTCTGAATGTGTAAGACGAACCGTAGTTTTGAATATGTAAGTCGAACCATAGATTTGAATGTGTTAGTCGAACTGTAGTTCTGAATGTGTAAGTCAAACCATAGGTATTAGTCGAACCATAGTTCTGAATGTGTAAGTCGAACCATAGGTGTAAATGTGTAAGTCGAACCATAGTTCTGAATGTGTAAGTCGAACCAGTAGTTCTGAATGTGTAAGTGGAACCATAGTTCTGAATGTGTAAGTCGAACCATAGGTGTGAGTCGAACCACAGTTCTGAATGTGTAAGTCGAACCATAGTTTTGAATGTGTGAGTCGAACCATAGGTGTGAATGTGTAAGTTAAATCTTAGGTTTGAGTCGAGCCATAGTTCTGAATGTGTAAGTCGATTCGTAGTTCTGAATGTGTAAGTCGAATCATAGGTTTGAGTCGAACCATAGTTCTGAATGTTTAAGTCGAACCATAGTTCTGCATGTGTAAGTCGAACCATAGGTGTGAGTCGAACCAAAGTTCTGAATGTGTAAGTCGAACCATAGTTCTGAATGTGTAAGTCGAACCATAGGTGTGAGTCGAACCATAGTTCTGAATGTGTAAGTCGAACCATAGTTCTGAATGTGTAAGTCGAACCTTAGTTTTAAATGTGTGAGTCGAACCATAGATATGAATGTGTGAGTCGAATCATAGGTTTGAGTCGAACCATAGATCTGAATGTGTAAGTCGAACCGTACTTCTGAATGTGTAAGTCGAACCATAGTTCTGAATATGTGAGTCGAACGAGTGTTCAGAAAGTGCGAGTCGAACCATAGATTTAAATGTGTGAGTCGAACCGTAGTGTTGAATGTGTGAGTCGAAATATAGTTCTGAATAGTGAACCTCGCCACCCTTACATTAGACAGTTTAGATGGTCTAGTGTACCTTGAAACCTATGCATTATGGTCTAGTGTACCTCACCATGCTTACATTAGACCGTTTCAATGGTCGGGTGCATTTCACAACCACTTAGATCCCTAAGTCATCTGTCCTCTACTGGAATAGGCCTCCAAGGAGCGATGTTTCGTCATGTCTGTTTCAGATGGTCTCCCCGCTGTACAATACACACATATACCACTCCATCCCTGATAGGGATACAGCGCATTGGGATTCATACTTACAATTAAAAATTAAAAAATTAAAAATGTCACTGAGTAATCAAAAATTGATTTAACCATATCGGAATTTGATTTGTATGTGGTAAACTGGAATGGCTAAGTACGTGAAACATGATGTTGGCAGAGTGAACTAGAAATAATTAGTTTTAGGATGAGTGCAATCTTGCGAACCAAATATAAATTGCCAATGCAGGAGAACAACGAGTCTAGATCATCCTCTGAAATAGATTCCATTTAACACGAAGGGCAAATGGCTGCGAAAACTATACGAATGGACCACTGAAAATCAGTGACGACACCAGGTGTTCACTGACAGAGAACCCTGAATGACAAGGACGGGAAAATGATGCAAAGTCAGAAAACACGCGTATATAATTAACTGAAGTAATCTCCCTTTGCCCAATTCGCTACCTTCTGTCCAAGCTAGTTCTGAAATGTCCCATAAGGTGCTGTTGTACATGTTCAGTCGTAAACGGTCTTTACCGAGAACAACCGAACGGCTCGCGGTCAGTGCAAGAAGTGCGGCTAGGGGAGTGTTTAGCATGGGGTTAAGCGCAAAGGAAAATAACGCCTTCATCACGCTCACGTTAAGGGATTAGGGTGGTAATGTCCGTGTCCCGTGGTAAAAGCTGAGGATTGTCACAATGGGGAGGATTAGGCAATAGTTACCAATGTGTAGCTTGTCTGACCTATTTCAGGGGACGGGGAGAGGCGAGTTTATGACATCACACAGGTTATTAAAGCTTGAAAATGTGATGTTTTGTTAAAGGTATTCTTGTAAAGATAAATTTATTCACGCTTACAATAAAAGACGAAATGTCTCTTGTTAGTTTTAAGGGTCTTTGATTAGACTTGCCATCTTTTCTCTGAACATTAACTTCCCAATCATAATGTTTACTGTTATCCCTGGATGACATGACCACCAGTAAATGTCCTATTTCCATCTTGTTGACAACTGACCATGAAAACGCCCTCGCCAATATTAAACTCAACTCATTCACTTTCACATACCGTAAAAGAGTCTACCATGTGTAAGTGTTAAATCATAACCATTCAAACTCGATTATCGATTAAATTCATTACAGAACATTAAATACAAAATATGTGATTGGTGGACACATTTTCAATTGTGCACTATATATGTTCTGTACAGACATGGGTTGTAAACTTCTAACAAGGATCAATCTGTTTAGTAGTGACAGTACATTTGAAATCCCTATTCAGTTTTCAGGGAACGACTACAAGCACTTCAATGATAAATCTCATGATGCAAAATCAATATGTTTAACACTGACAATACAGTCACGGAGACCCCCTATTGAGTTTTCCGGGAACTATCACTATCACTTCAATGATAATCTTGTTGTGCAAAGCATATATTCTTAACGCTGACAGATGCAGGTTTTATGAAAATTCCATATCTCATTCTCGGGAAACGACTGCTTCAGTGGAACCTATATAGAAGTATAAAAAATCAACGTAAGCCCTTAATCTGGTCTGGAGAATGAGGAAGTTGTCGAGACGCTCCATTGTAGCAACGCCAATTACGTTTGTTGGAACGCAAAGAGAGCTGGCAGGACCGAGTGTGTAGTGTGGGTAGGTCGGCATGATTAAACATGCAGTATCTGTCTATAAACCGTGTTATGTTGACTCACGGAGACGGCCGTACAAACGGAGCAGTAATAGGTGGATACGACATTGTGGACGGTGCTTCCCCAAATGTTTCCCCATGACGGCTATGGAGACGACTTTAGATCTTGAATAAACATGTGTATATCATATAACGTGTAATATTTTGATTGCACATGTCAATATTTTATACCAGCCATTTCGTATTTGCTTGTGTCACTCATGGAAAACCTACTAACATGTAGGTGTGTGTTTTTTAAAATATATATTTGTGTGTTGTTATTTCTGTTTGTTTTGATGAGTTTTTTTGCTGGGGTTGGGAAGATTTTCGTGGGGTTTCATTTCCATTCCATTTAGTTTATATCATTTTAAGTTGTTCTTTTAGTTTAGTAACATTTCGAAGAATGTGAAGACGCCCCCAAACTGCAGCCTTCTGCTTAACCATAACCGAGATTGTCAGAAGGGCTGTGGTAGTAGTAGTAGTAGTAGTAGTAGTAGTAGTAGTAGTAGTTTGGTTTGGTTTGGTTTGTTTGTTGTTTAACGCCGCACTCAGCAGTATTCCAGCTACATGACGGCGATCTGTAAATAATCGAGTCTGCACCAGACATCCAGTGATGATTAACATCATGCGCATTGATCCACGCAATTGGGATACGATGACATGCATCAACCAAGTCAGCGAGCCTGACCACCCGATCCCGTTAGTCGCCTCTTACGAGAAGCATAGTATCATCACTATTTGATAGTGACACGGGTCAGTAGTAGTAGTAGTAGTAGTAGTAGTAGTAGTAGTAGTAGTAGCAGTAGTAGTAAAAAAAAAATGAAGCAAAGAGGGTTTGAGTGATCCTGGCACAGTCAGACTGGTTAGGCTCAGCCTCAGCTCAGGGCCCTTGCCCCCTCTAAACGCAGCCCAGAGAGCGATTGGGACTTCTCCCAGGAAGCGCTGCCTACTAGTCAAACCCACCCAGAACTTTTCGGAGAATGTGAAGACTCCCCAACACTGCAGCTTTCTGCATTACCCAGATTGTCAGAAGGGGTGTATTCCTGGCAGAAAACCCGGGTACTCTCCAATTGTCGGTCAACGGATTGGGAGGTACCAAACCTAAGGCACCGAGAACAATGGGGAGTCGAACAACTTGGTACTTGGGATGCAAGCGGGACATTTCGAAAGCGAGGTCCGCATATTTGCAATGTTTTTCAATGTGTTGACAATGTGATAAACGGTAACAAAATGATCGACCCACTCCATCATCTCGCTCAAGATAGTGTGTGTGTGTGCCAAAGTTGGGCATTCACTGACAATGTGTTGGACAGTCTCATTAAATTCATTACATAATCTACATTTCATAATCGCATTTTGAGGGTTTCGAGTGGGAAGTGACTGGTCCTGAGCATCAAACAGAAAGCCTTCTGTTTCACATTATTATTATTATGATTTTTATTTTATTTTTATTATGATTATTATTATTGTTGTTGTTGTTGTTGCTTTTGTTATTCTTGTTAGTAGTAGTAGTAGTAGTTTTGTTGTCGTTAATGTAGTTGCGGATGTTGTAAACTCCCTTAATACAGATGACTAGGTGACCAGGTGATTAGATGACTACATTATCAGGTCATCATGTGACTGGAAGATTAGGTGACAGCTGATGGTTAATCTGTTTCTGAAATCCGTTTAGCCATGGACTTTAAACAATACGTTAAGGAGAGGCCGGTAGTTGCGAGTATCTTTTCTAACTTACACATCTCTTCTTGTAGACATTGGCTGAACATTCTTTTGAGAAACTGTTTGAAACTACTCCAGGGTGCCGTTGTACAAAGCGTGATCGTAACTCCCATACCTTAACATAGACTTAGACATGGAAAGTCGTAGCGCTAAGGTTGTGTTGAACAACGTCACCCTGAACTCTATTGAGAGTCGCCCTAAACAGAGATTTAGAGCATGAGAACATAGCCCTGAACAAGGATATAAATGTTGCTCCTGGTTTTTCTTTTCGCTTTTCTCATCAAAGGTTTATCTCACTGCTTTAATATGAGTATCGTGTTTGTAACAGTATGTAACACAACATATATATCATTTTCTAAGCCTTAAAGTATATACAGATATTTGAAAATAATTAATTGTTTGTATAGGCTTCTTGACAGGCGGAGACCGCCTCCGTGGTCTAGAGGGGGAGCGTCCGCCCGGAGAGCGGAAGGTCCGGGGTTTGATGCCGGGCCGCGTCATACCAAAAGACGTTAAAAGATGGTACTTGTTGTTACCCTGTCTGGCGCTCGGCATTAAGGGGATAAAACAAGAACCGGTCGGCTCGGAGTCAGTATACTGTGTCAAAGTGGGGTATTCATGTTAAACTGCGGCATGGTATCCCAGTGGGCTAGTACTATAAATCGGCATCAGTCGCACGTACGCACGCACGCACGCACGCACGCACACACACACGTACATGCACATCGCTATATAAGTGCAATAATCTTGGACGCGACGTTAGACCCCATTTCACCTCACCTCAAATTATAACTGGCTTCATTTGCACGTATACTAGTATGTGTGAGTATGGGTAGATAAACAGACGGACAGATAAATTTCGAATCATGAGATAAATTATTATATATGGTATATGAACATTTTGAAGTAAGTTATGATATACAATGTATATTGATTAAGAGGTTAGACATGGGTTTCCATAAATACATGAAGAGGTATACCGTGGTTATCAGTTTGGATATTTCTATGTTATCTCCAAGACCAGGAAGAAGATTGATAGAACGTTTGATCTATTCCAAGACGTTTACATAGTCCACACCTTACACTTTGAGTATTTTATCCAGGTAAGACATGTCGCATATCGTGTCGCTTTTTCCAGTATTTGAAGACCTGTTGACTCCAGTTGTCAGATTCAACGCTGGGAAGGAATGTTGGAATGTTCAGCATGATAACCCTTGATTTGGTGACTCCGAACATGACTGTCTACTGTCTCGCAATTAAGTGGATTGATAAAAGCATCCTGTTTGACAAATATTTTAAATTTCAAGAAGAAAAAATAAAACTTAATATTTTGATTATATCGAAGCACTGAGATGTAATTTAAAGTGTTTACTTGCATGAATGAGTAGGGGCCTCATGCAAAGTCAGTTGAGTTGTTGCTACAAATATTACGTATACATTCTTTATAAGCATTTAGTTGGATTAGAACATGAGAAGGAGTATTACTATGGACAACAACTTCTTTATTATACATAGTTCACCTGTTGTTGGGGCAAGAGTTAGCTCTGGAACGTCGTGTTTGTAAAATAAAGAAGTTGTTATCCATAATAACACTCCTTGGCTTTACGTATGTACATAGACGCACATATATAACGACTGACCACGACTCATCCATCAATCTATTATAGCGAGTGCGCAGGATTTCTGCAACGCGCAACATTAGGTTCGTTGAAGCGGATTGTTCCTCTTGCTTTTGCGTTTTGGATTTACATGATCTGTCCTTGTTCATTTCTATATTGATTTACAGTTTGGTGATGTTGCTGTACTTTGAAAACGTTGTACATCTTCTTGTGTTTTTCGAACCTTTCTCTAAAGAGATCGGATTGGCGCAATTGCCTTCTTCGTAAATCTGTTTATCTTGTTATCTGTTTTTGGCATACGTCTTCAATACGTCATGTATGCATTCAGTGACTGAAAGCGATGCGAAATGTCATAACAACAAGCTCATCTGTGACAAACGAAGTAGGGGGGGGGGGGGGGGGGGGGGACACCCAAGAAGTTTCGTAGATTGCGCATAAGTGGGGAATCGAACCCGGTCCTCGTTTGGATGAACGAGCCTTAACCACTGAACTACCCCTTCGGGAAGCCAGTTGGTCAGACATATCATCTCACATACCACAATCTGCCAATGGCGTAGTTACAAAAATTCTATGTGTCGTTTGATTATCTCAGTTCGCATCGTGAAATATCAAAATGATTTTTTTTTGGTAATTGAATTGTTTAAATATGAAATAAAGGTATGAAAGTTAAACAAATGATTAAAATCTAGCATGACAATGACAACAGTTCAATAGAACGCAGTAAAGAAACACGTCTATTTCTTTGAAAAAGAAATTATTCATATTATTTTATTTAATTTCAGAGATTATTTAGTCTTCAATACAAAACTATGGATAGCAACTTATCATACTAGGTGGATTTGTGGGGGGAAATCCCGATTTGTTGTTGACTCACTGACGCTTGTTGACAATGACAACAGTTCTATAAAAGCTATATGCGCAGTAAAGAAACACGTCTATTTATTTGAAAAGAAATTATTCATATTATATTATATACTTTCAGAGATTATTAAGTCTTCAATACAAAACTATTTATGGCAACTTATCATACTAGGTGGATTTGTGGTGGGAAATCCCGATTTGTTGTTGACTCACTGACGCTTGTTGACAATGACAACAGTTCTATACAAGCTACATGCGCAGTAAAGAAACACGTCTATTTGTTTGAAAAGAAATTATTCATATTATATTATATACTTTCAGAGATTATTAAGTCTTCAATACAAAACTATTTATGGCAACTTATCATACTAGGTGGATTTGTGGTGGGAAATCCCGATTTGTTGTTGACTCACTAACGCTTGTTGACAATGACAACAGTTCTATACAAGCTACATGCGCAGTAAAGAAACACGTCTATTTGTTTGAAAAGAAATTATTCATATTATATTATTTACTTTCAGAGACTATTAAGTCTTCAATACAAAACTATTTATCGGAACATACTAGGTGGATTTGTGGTGGGAAATCCCGATTTGTTGTTGACTCACTGACGCTTGTTGACAATGACAACAGTTCTATATAAGCTATATGCTATATTCATTGAGGCGTGTCGTTGATTCACCGACGCATGTTGGAGATGAATAACACTTTGGTGAACCCGGTATTACGGATGGGTCGATGTCAAACATCGTAAACATCACTTTGGTGACAATCCTTGGGATCCATACGTCAGGACTGTTGCACCACTGAACATTTCTTGGGAACATGTATCTGGAACAAAGCGAACAAACTGATACCATCACACTCGAATACATTAAACCCTAACACAGTCACGCTAGTCGAGTATTGTTCCACCACCCCAGGGTCCCGGATACAAAAACTACACTCATGAATAGCCTCAGTCACAAACATGCCGGGATGAATGGGGTGTTACTGGGACATACATATTCACTGTATAAACTGTTATTTTTATTTTCGTTTTGGTTGTTTATATATTCTTTTTTATTTTCAATACATATTTTGATGAGCAGAATGTGATACAGTCTTTCTGAATGTATTTTTAAGTTTAGTAAGTTTAGTTTAGTAATATTGATATGATAAGTAATATTGATATGATAGTAATATTGATATGATAGTAATATTGATATGATAGTAATATTGATATGATAGTTTGATAGTAATATTGATTTGATAGTAATATTGATATGATTGTAATATTGATATGATAGTAATATTGATATGATAGTAATATTGATATGATAGTAATATTGATATGATAGTAACATTGATATGATAGTAATATTGATATGATCGCAATATTGATATGATAGTAATATTGACATGCAGCGTTAGCATAAAATGGACAGGTTCTTCGGGAGGATGAAACCGATGAATAAAATCAGTATTGGTTGGAGTACTTTTTGTAAATATGCAAATAAACAAGGTCAGGTACGTACTATTTTCAGTGTCACCACATTAACATGACGTCTCCCTTGTCTTTCAAACCTCCATTAAAGCATAGTATTATGCCATGCAATGTGCTTATTATCATTATCAAAAGTTGCTATATATGAAATAATGACGATGCAGCGTGACAAGTTTAAGTTGGAACTATTCGGTCTGTTGTCAGTGTCGGTTGACTAAGACTGACCTTGTGACGTAATGTATTAATGCGCACGTTCAGGAAAATGTGCAGTGTTAAGGTACGGTTTGAGAGGTGGTGCGATTTCCAAGAAATATTATGTGAAAAGGGGTTGTCACGCTTTTGTGTTGTTAGGATGGTGAATATCTGGTGAATACACTGTGCACTATGTAATGCAATATGTAATTTTATAAATGATATTTTCCATCGCCAAACACACGTGATAGCATACTACGTATTATGCAGAGTGGCATGCACATATAGATGTGTGCTTGTGGTATGCCTGTATAGGTGGCATGTGTATGTAGTATGAATGTATATAGTCCAAGTTGTTTGGAATTGCTCAAAATCTGTTTGATCAGGGTTCCGAAAACCTGGCATCATCAGTATTTGATAGTGATTCCTTCACACATGCTGATTTTATAGTTAGAATCGTACAATGGATTTCTTATGATTATGGAAATGGATTGTGTCGCTCTTATATACAAATTCAAACCTGGTTTTGTTTGTTTGTTTGTTGTGTAACGCAGCACTCAGCAATATTCCAGCTATATATGGGCTGTCTGTAAAATAATCTAGTCTGGACCAGACAATCCAGTGATTGACATCATGAGCATCGATCCACGCCATTGAGATCGATGACATGCATCAATTATGGCCGCGAGCCTGACCACCCGATCCCGTTAGTCGCCTCTTACGACAAGCATAGTTGCCTTTTACGGCAAGCATGGTATCATATCTATTAGATAGTGATTCTGTTACACATGCTCCTGGCATATATACATGTGGTCGGAAGCGCATTAGAGGTTTCATATGAGTATGGAAAGGGTGTTGTCGCTATATTCAATGTATTAGGCTGTATGAATGCATTCGGCTGCATGTGTCTCGTTATGTGTCATAGTACTGTCTCTTTGTTTCTGACAAATCTGTCAACACGGTGCTGTCGTGATTTGCCATTGTGGAATAATGGCTACTGTGCATTAATTTTCAAATATAGTGAGTAGTTCATTCCACGTTGACATGACTCAGAACTAATAGAACTTTAGTTGAGGTGAGGTGAAATTGGGTTTAACGTTTAATGCACTTATATAGCGACGTGCATGCACGTGTGTGTGTGTGGCTGCTTGTCCGGACTGATGCCGATTTATAGTGCTAGCCCACTGAGATACCATGCCGCAGTTTAACATGAATACCCCACTCAGACACAGTATACTGACTCCGAGCCGACCAGTCCTTGTTTTAGCCCCTTAATGCCGAGCGCCAGACAGGGTAACAACAAGTACCATCTTTTAACGTCTTTTGGTGTGACGCGGCCGGGGATCGACGGGCGGACGCTCTACCACTAGACCACGGAGGCGGTCTATAGAACTTTAGAGGTTTGTTTTGTCATTACCGCTGCCGTGGGCGGTGTGGGTATGGGTGTGGGTGGGAGAACGATCTTACTCCTCTTATAATAACTCCAAAAACTCCACAATAAATTGAATGCTTACAGCAGTGTTGGAAACACCCACTAAAAAAAGCATATACATAAAAAGTGCAAGCAGTATCACATGGCTCCGAATAAATGCCTCAATGTCACAAAGCAATATTACCTGTTTGTATCCATAAAAAAATTTTTTTTATTTATATAATGGTCGAAGTCAAAGGATTCTAGTGAAAAAGTCGACTCTTCCTATCAATACGTAAGATCTAAAAGTGTTCTGTATAAGCATTTCTTATCACTACAGTAAACTACGGTTAAAGCGAACACGCTTATAACGAACTGACGGATATAACGAACTTACTTTTTGGTCCCGACTATTTGCTGTAGTTATGCTGTATATATGCTTATGACGAACTACGGTTATAACAAACTAAATTTAGTAGTCCCTTTGAGTTCGTTATAACCGTAGTTTACTGTATTATTAGTAAACACGTATAAAGCGATTGTTCTGTTCAATGAGCACTTCAATGACAAATCCCATTCAAAGCCAATATGTTTAACGCTGACAGATGCAGGTTTAATTAACTTCCCTGATCCATTTTCGGGCAACGAGTGCTTCGGTGGAATCGATGTATGAGTGTAAGCCCCTTAGTCGGGTCTGGAGAATGAGGAAGTTGTCGAGATGCTATGTTTAGGTAGGACCTATAATGTGTACTGTGTGTAGGCCAGTATAAACATGTGAGTATCTATAAACCGTGCTGTGTTGACGCATGGAGATGGCTGGACTGACGGAGCTGTAACGGGTGGGTACGACATTGTGGACGGTGTCCCCAGATAAACCCCATGGCTACTTAAGATCTTGAATAAACACTTCTATGTCATGTTACGACATGTAATGATTTATAACTTTTTTATAACATTTTGTCCGTGCGCATGTCACTGGAGGTAAACCGACTACCCTGAGGAGGGTAGGTGTGGGCGGGTTGTATATTTTTTAGACTTTTATATCTGTTTGAGTTTTTGTTGTTGTTTGTTTTGTTGTTATTAATTTGGGGGGTTGTTCTTTTGTGTGTGTTTTTTGTTTGTGTTTTCTGATTTTTGGGGTGGTGGGGGTTGATTGTGTTCCGGGTCTACCGTTTAACGCTTTAATACTTGATATTCCCAGCCAATCACTTAGACAATCATTGACTGGCCATGAATATATTTACGATAGCAAAAACTGAGATCGAATCAGGACGTTAAACGTTGCTCAAGTTAGGAGCACTTTTATTACTTATCAGCCTAAGATATATGTGACACTGACCAACACGGTTAATGCGTTATACAACTCTTCATTGTAAACAACATACAGTGTGCTGAACATTACATTTTTCTTTTCAAATTTTCAATCAACAAGGAAGAAACTAAATTAAAAGCTTCTGAAACAAATCGCTAACTTATAAATTACAATCAGTAGAACAACCAGTATTCGCCACTGTATGGTGATAATGTATTTTGGTACAGGACTTGAATAATGGGATAAAAATAACATTATAAAATATGTCAAGAACAATATGGAGAAAGAGTTTACCTAAACAAATCAGATACATATCAGATTGTAAATACTTCTTTATATTTTGAAAGAGATGTTTAAAAATATTTTTGTTCAGTCCCTTTGGGATTTTTAATTCATTTTAACCTCTAAGAGTTCTGAAGGATTTATGTAAAATAACATGCAGTCATGTTCGTTCGAGGCTGATTATTCTCACGTTAGCGTTTTGGATTCACATTATCTGTTCTTGTTTATTTCTGTAATGGTCTGATTAAAGTTTGACAACGTTTCCATGGATCGTTGGACATTTTCTTGTATCTCAGGGGCGGTGGGGTAGCCTAGTGGTTAAAGCGTTCGCTCGTCACGCCGAAGACTCGGGTTCGATTCCCGACATGGGTACAATGTGTGAAGCCCATTGCTGGTGTCCCCCGCCGTGATATTGCTGGAATATTGCTAAAAGCGGCGTAAAACCATACTCACTCACTCACTTGTATCTCAGACTTTGTCTGAAGAGGTCGGATTGGCGCGTCTGCCTACTTTGTGATTTTGTTTATTTTTATACTTGTTCTTGAAATGATTGTTCAACATTAAATGTATGTATTAAAAAACTGCAAGAGGGGCGGTGGGATAGCCTAGTGGTTAAAGCGTTGGCACGTCATGCCGAAGACCCGGGTGCGATTCCCCACATGGGTACAATGGTGTTCTCCCGCCGTAATATGTCTGGAATATTGCTGAAAGCGGCGGAAAACCATACTCACTCATTCACTACATACAAAATGCCATGGGAAAAAACGAAATGAGTACCGGTGGTCTGTGACTCGAAACGGAAACAGCCAGAATGAGCACGTTGCAAACACGTAGAAAATCGAACCCGGTTTTCGGTAGAATGCGCGAACCTTAACCACCGAGTTGCCCCATCATGAAGCCTAACGCGACGTTAACCCCTTTCACCTCACCTCACCTCACCTCACCTCACCTCACCTCACCTCACCTCACCTCACCTCACCCGTAAAGAAACACGTTTACCTGTTTGAATAAGAAATTATTCATGTCATATTCTTTACTTTCAGTGAATAGTTAGTCTTCAATATAAAAGTATTTACAGCAACTCATCATATTAGGTGGATTTGTGGGGGGAAATCCCGATTTGGTGTTGATTCATTGACGCTTGTTGA